ATGATCACCATTTGCAACTTTCCTTGTTGGCTTCCTCAGAAACTCAATGTGCCAATCGTACACCCTTCCTAGCCCTCACCATGCCTCCTGCACACCTGACTAGCGCCTGTTGCATAATTCCTGGTACCTCATGCATCTGACCCACATCATATCTCTCATGCATTTTCCCAGAACCACAATTCATCTCTCATTCATTCCTCACGCACGCTTTCCAACCCATCTTTCACACAGCTCCTTGCATCGTGCATGACCTCCTTAACCTACCCCACACTCCCACAAACTCCATCCCTCCCTCCCTCCCTCCCTCCCTCGCTCCCTCTCCCAGCAATGCCACCTGAGACTTGTGATTTCCTTCCAGCTTCCCCACCAATGTTGCCGGTGGGAAGCCAGCAGGAAGTCAATCCACCTAATGACCATGGGATTAGCTTCATGATGGAAACTGAGACTGCAGGGAGTACCATTGCAAAACAATGAGGTCACCCTTTATGGTTATATCACTTAGCAGCAGAAATTCACAATTGCCATCATAAGTCAAGGATTACCTATATATATTAAAGTTGTGTGTTTTTTAGCAAGTTCAGTTATTCAGTATTTTATGTACATCATCCATAATCAGAAGCAAATTTTTGTGGGAGAGAAAACTTAAGGAACAGTTTCCAACAGAAGAGGCATCTCATTTTAGAAAAGGGGCTCCAAAATCCTGATGTGTTTTATTTGTTTATTTATTACATGTATATGCTACCCATCTGAATATGTCAATTTTGAAACATTAATCAAGTATATTTCATACAGTATTCTTACTCCAATGTTGTACAATCAGCTGGACTTCAAATATTTCTCTTTTACCGTAGTCATCTTTGGTGTGTTAATACCATTGTTTTAAATTCCATATGTAAACATTAAAATTTAAAAAAAACCACTTTCAAAATTAGAGCAATGTTGTAATTGAAACTCTACAGTATAAGTGCTTTTAAAGTTGGATTCCTCAACAATTACTATTGATTCAGGAGCAACAAGTATTTACTGTATAGCTATTTTGTTTGGCTGCGCTTGAGCTGTTTGCCAAAAGCCGGTAATAGGTAGCAGCAATAAAAATGCTTTAGCCTAACCTCCTGCTTCAACTCATTCTGTTGGCTTGAGTTTCTCCTTTAAAGCAGTTTCTCAGTCTGCACTTAGCACAACTTCCCTGAATGAAAATATATGTTTCCGTTTATAATTCTATTTTAATCTGACTATTATTAATATTATTTGTGAGCATGATAAGTGTTTCTGCAATCCTTATCTTAGGATCTCTAAATTCAAAAATGTTATTAATCCAAACTCAGTTTGAATATTCCAGCTACTTTTTACAAATTTATTTCAGCTGAGCTATTTCTAGAAAGAGTGGATGTGGGCATCATTATTCTATTAGTAATGGACAAGTCATCTTGAGGTTTTTCCTAATTTGCTAGGTTCTGTAAATCTGTTAATGATCTACTGATTAATCACCTTGAGGCCCATGATGAATTGCTTGGACTGCAGAGCATTTGCATAGCTCTGCTAATGATCTACTGCTTTAATTAAAAAAATGTTTTATGCATCAAAAAGTATAATATTTGTAAGAGGGGGTTGATTTAGTTGACTGAAAATGTGAGTACATGTCTTCATACTACTTCATACTTTCTAGAAGTTCAAAAAATTTGAACCTATATGCAAATTTCCCCATATACCCAATAATATGCATTATTTTAGCATTTTGGTGGGAAAATAACATACAATTTTAATCGAACAAGCATAATCCTAATTTAAAGTCTCGTACAAGTTGCAAAGCCCTGAGATTTTGTACTTATTTTGTGTATCTTATCCAGTCAAAATCTTTTGCAGAAAATGTGTAAAAAGCTGTTCATACCCACAACTAGGTGATCAAAAAAATCCTTTATCTCCATATTTTCTTCAGTGTTCTCCAAAACAAACTGAGGGCATCTGACTCAACACAGAACCTTAAATATTTTGTAGCCTGCATCTGAAAAAATAATTTGATTCAATCCTCTCTCTGCACAGCTTTATTCTATAACAGGGAAAATTCACTGGTTAAACTGATTGCTTATAAGGAGATGCGCCCCTCCCATCAATATTTTCATTTTTCTACTCATCTTGTCCTGCTTGTAGCTTTTCAATACTCTATCCTCGAAAGGGAACACAGTGACCCACAAGGTTAAAACACAGGGCTGATGAACAGCAGTCTCACATTCAAGTTCCGTTGCTGCACTGGGGTGGGGTGAGCTCCTGTCACATACTCCAGCTCCTACCAAACCAGGAGTTCAAAAGTGGGCAACTGCAAGTAGATACATGAATCTTGTCCTGCTTGTAGCTTTTCAATACTCTATCCTCGAAAGGGAACACAGTGACCCACAAGGTTAAAACACAGGGCTGATGAACAGCAGTCTCACATTCAAGTTCCGTTGCTGCACTGGGGTGGGGTGAGCTCCTGTCACATACTCCAGCTCCTACCAAACCAGGAGTTCAAAAGTGGGCAACTGCAA